TGCCGGGTCCTGTAGCAAGCAAGGCAGGGAGTGCTGAGAGCAATGAGGCATGGGCCCTGCCCCTGTGAGCTCAGCCTCTGGATTTGCACAGTCTCAGGGTCAAACCCTCACTCTGCCTTTCTCTGGTTGCATGGCCAAGATTACATGCTCAGCCTCAATTTACTCATCCATTAAATGGGATAATCACTCCCACCTGTTGGGTTGTTTGGGAGGATCAAATGAGATAACCTCTATGAAAGTCCCTGGCACATAGTAGGCAATCAGCAAGTGTTAGCTTTTATTATTATTACTGATAAGAAGAGGATGCAATTCACAGTTATAGGTAGGGAATGAACATTCCAGAAGGGAAGAAACAGCATGAGCGGAGGCAGAGTGGAAAGCATAGGGCAAGATTCAAGGAACAGATGTTTTTGGAAGTAGGGAGTAATCGGGAGAGCAAACTGGAAGCACACTACAGCCACAGGTGGAAAGGCCATTGTCAGACTGAAGAATTTGGCAATAGGGAGCCATTGAAGGCCTTGGAGGAAGGGAATGATGTAATTGGAGCGCATGATAGAATAGATGGATAGAGGACACTTGATCGATAGTAGCAAACCCTGCCAGGAGTTCACTTATCCTATAGTTGTGGCTTTCGGAAATTAGCAGGAAATGGGATTCTGTCACCATCCTGGGAGGCTTCCAGGAGGTGGCAGGATTTCTAATGTTCCCGAAGGAGGCTCTTGCCACTTGGGTGGGATGGGTTGGGTCTCTGTGATTGGCTAACTGGAGCTGAGCACTCCGGTTTCCTTGCTGGGCTGCTACAGGTCCCAGGAGCAAATGCCAGAAGCCGATCTGCAGGAGTGACCAGAAGTTGCCCTTGTGTCAACTGCAGCCAGCCTCCGGACACATCCAATGGCTGGAACCTCATTTTCAAGAGCAAGCCATGCAGGAAGTCCATGTTCCCCTAGTGGACATTAGGACACTGAGTTATCTTCTCCCATCCCCCCGGCCCTCTGAGGATACCACCTAGCATGGCTGTCTAATAAAGTACCCATCCCCTCATCCAGTGCAGGCCCAGACCAGGGAGACATCAGTGACTGGGAGGCCAAAGGTTGGGCCCAGCGCTGGTCCAGACTGCTCCATCAAGGAGGTAAAATGCCACAACCACTGTATTTTCGGCCCAACTTTTCAGTTCTCTGTGCTCCCACACTGGTCTGTGAACTCCTTGAGGGTAGGGACTGTGTCTCATTCATTCATTCATTTGTTCACTCAGTCACTTATTCATTCAGCAAACACTTGTTGAGCACCTGCCATGTGGCAAGCACGCTGTTAGGCACTCAGAATCCCGCTGTTATCAACCAGGGTTTGGTCAGAGTGGCAGAACTACTAAGAGGTACCTAGATATAAAATGAGGGATTTTTTTTTTTTTTTTTTTTTTGCGGTACATGGGCCTCTCACTGTTGTGGCCTCTCCCGTTGCGGAGCACAGGCTCCGGACACGCAGGCTCGGCGGCCATGGCTCACGGGCCCAGCCGCTCCGCGGCATGTGGGATCTTCCCGGACCGGGGCACGAACCCGTGTCCCCTGCATCGGCAGGCGGACTGTCAACCACTGCGCCACCAGGGAAGCCCAAAATGAGGGATTTTAATAGGGCTTTGTCTTTCTGTGATGCTGGGAGCCCATGAAACAGTCTGTGAGAGGCTATTCTCTTCTGTGCTGTTGCTGGCTGCCTGAAATCTTACAGCCCAAGTGGCAGGGCAAACTGGAACTGCAAGGATAGGTGGAGCCCAAGAGGAAAGCCTAGAACACCCTTCTGCATCTCACCACCTCCAAGTCTTCACCCAGAGAAGATAAAGGAGGCGATCTGGCAGGACCCAGAGTTGCCGCAGCCCTGGCTTCTTCGCCACAACAGCACAGTGAGCCAGCAGATACAGGACAACGTGCATTAGCCGCAAAGGTATCCCATGCCGGGCTCCGACTTTCTGATTGTACAAATCAAGTGACGTCTAGTCCACCTCTGCTTCCAAATCTCAGGCCAAACATCTCTTAAGAGACCCATGCTAACCTGGAACTCTGCAGGGATGGGAATTCTGGGAAATACAGCTTCAGCATAGCTAAGTGACACAGTACAGACCCATGACAGTCTACCCCTCGTTGACGTGGCATCCACACACATCTCTTTCAACCATTCTTAACCTCCAAATAAAGACAATAGCAAAATCCTGTTTCTGCCTAACATAACGAGTACAACTTGAAACAAACTAACATCCCCTAAAGAGGATACCAAGTCCTTTTACACATCATTGGGTCATGCTCATTTCTATTCCAGTTGGGTCGTGACCCCCTTTTGATATTCTCTGATTTAGATCCTGAGATGTAAGGTTAGCTGCATGAACACAGCTTCTGCATGACAGGAGGGCCACCCCAGAGGAGGTCTGTAACGTTGCAGCTGCCCACATGCATGGAGTGCCAACACATCGTGGTCAACCATCTGTAAGACAGGCCCAGAACTTTTTCTTCCTTGGGCATCTGGTCGTGGAGAACTTGCCCATGAAGTCACTGGTACAGATTAAGAAAAAGGAGACAATACAGCAGGTCTAGGGGCCGTGGACCTCTGTGCCCCTTACTTATGCAGTTCACCTGGCCTTCTGCTCCTGTTTAGGTCCAGATATTATGATGTGATGATGTAATTGCTGTCATGCACACCCAGTTTCGTAACCTGGTGGGTCAGATAACAGCCAGTCTCATGATAACTTGTTAACCCAAGGTCAAGAATTCAGTCTCCCTGAAGAACCATTAGCAAGCCAGATGTTGTTTCTCAAAAGGAGAACAGTTATCTGCAGCTGGTGGAGGGGCTTTGCTCCAAAATCCTAAGGGTTTACCCTGTGCTTTACCAGTAGGGCCCTGTGAAATCTTCCATGTGACATTTCTACCTGCACACACTCAACAACCATTGGTGTCCTGGGTCTCTTGTGCATTTTCAGTTTGGTAACAGCTATAATTAACACACCCCCATGTACGTCTGCTCTACAGATGATTTTTCATGTTTGAGAGGGTCCCAGTTGTATCTGAAGCCCACTTTCAAATGCCAGTGAGGGCCTGTACTTACAAGGCAACCTGTCCTTAAGTGTCTGTGTATCTGTGTCATCTGCCAACTTCTGTATAAAGATCTATCCAGGGAGGCATTTATGGTCTGGTCTGTACATTACAGTATCTCCCTTGAAAGGGTGGGGGATGTGATTTTGAAAGGGAGACCTTCCTGATGGTTCTCTTTACAGCCAAGGAATAGTCAAGAGAGCAGTCAAGGAGACCAGCTCTTCCCAGGTTACAGGCATCGTGTGACTCCATCATTTCCCCGTGGCTGCTGACTGCAGTGAGAGTGGGGCAGGGGAGCACCATGGAGGACCTCAGTGGGGTCCCCTCTACTGAGGATGAAACCAGTGCACCAGCGAGTCTAACCACCAAAGGACAGACTCTGGAATCCCCAGAGGGAGTCAGAGCAGAGAAGAAATAGAGCTGGCTCTCAGGCTGAATCCAGGGGATTCTCCTAAGAACTGCCAATGTGGGTGAGTCCCTGAACCACTCCAGGTTCCATTTTCTCTCTTTTGGGGCCAGAGTCGAAGACAGTGGGATAGTGGTCAGAACCTAGAGTCTGGAACGAGGATCTGAGGTCTAAACCTACTTCTGCTATTGATGTGCTGTGTGACTTTGGGAAAGTCTCCTAACCTCTCTGGGCCTCAGTTTCTTGGTAGATAAATGAAGGCTCTCCATGAGCCCTTCCAGCTCAAACCCGTGTCAGCCTGTGGTGTTGCTTTCATAATATTGCAACATCCCTCATCCACAAATGCCTGTCTGAATACCAGTGCTTTGAGCTTACTTGGATGCCCCAGTAAGAGGGGCCTGAATGCAGCCCCCTCCTGCAGAGCTTACCAGCAAGACACCACCCTGCCTGCTGCCTGACCCTGACGGGAGAAGGGAGAAGCCTGGGCTGAGGTCTCTTCTCCATCATCCAGAATATCGCAATTGAAGAGAAATGGCATTGAGAGTGAAGCTCTCAATTTCCTTTACATACCTATTTAAAAATGGATTCGGAAAATGGCTCTGATCAAAAAAATTTCATGAGCGAATTGGACATTTGAATTGCTTTCTTTGTTACTCTGTCAAATTTAGACGCGAGTCCATAGCAAACTTTTCGAAAACACTAGTACATTCAGGGTAATTGCATAAAATTAAATTTTATTTTGAAAATGTTCAACATTGGAGGTTTTTAAATATAGATCCCATTTATCATGTGGTTATTTTGGGATTTGTCAATGGAAGGAAGCCAAATGTCCTTTCTTGGAAAGGACTCTCCTTTGTTTTGGGATGTGTCCTTTCTTCTGCAGTCTGGGTATTAGAACACCCTTTCTTTTATGAATAGATAGATGAGGTGGGCTCTTTAGTGTCCTTCCTTGGTAAAAATAAACCCCATAGTTGAACTTTTTTTTTTTATATATAAACTTATTTATTTTTGGCTGTGTTGGGTCTTTGTTTCTGTGCAAGGGCTTTGTCTAGTTGCGGCAAGCGGGGGCCACTCTTCATCGCGGTGCGTGGGCCTCTCACTATCGTGGCCTCTCTTGTTGCGGAGCACAGGCTCCAGACGCGCAGGCTCAGTAGTTGTGGCTCACGGGCCCAGTTGCTCCGCGGCATGTGGGATCTTCCCAGACCGGGGTTCGAACCCATATCCCCTGCATTGGCAGGCAGATTCTCAACCACTGCGCCACCAGGGAAGCCCGAACTCTATTTTTTAATGTCTTGCTCTGTGAAATCCCAGAACCTCAGCATCGCCAGGTCATCATCAAGGTAGCTTTGGGATTCCCAATTTACATCGCAAAAAACATTACAGTTTCTTTTTTTTTTTTTTTTTTTGCGGTACGCGGGCCTCTCACTGTTGTGGCCTCTCCCATTGCGGAGCACAGGTTCCGGACGCGCAGGCTCAGCGGCCATGGCTCACGGGCCCAGCCGCTCCGCGGCATGTGGGATCTTCCTGGACCGGGGCACAAAGCCGTGTCCCCTGCATCGGCAGGCGGACTCTCAACCACTGTGCCACCAGGGAAGCCCTACAGTTTCTTTTTTAAAGAGACCAGAAATCAGAGGGGTTCAGTAATGAGCCTGAGACCACACAGCTGGAGAAGCCAAGTTGGCATTCAAATGCAGTGCTCTCTGGTCTGGAAGCCCAAGACGGCACGATGGCCAATCATCTTCTCCCCGCTCCCTGGAGGAAGAATGAGGTCCAGTGCTTGGCTCGAGTGGACCCAAGGTTTAAGGAGATGAGCCCCAAAGAAGGCTTGGTACTCATCCCAGGAAACCTTCTAGTTACTAATCTGTACCTTCTTCCTCTGAGGGAACATGGTTAATGCTGGGTCTGGTGCCCCAACAGCAGAGAAAGAGGTGCAGGCAATCCTCCACAGCAGGGGAAATACCTGTGTGGTTATTATTAGTCTTGAGAAGGAATTTTATTTAATATCTATGTGGCAGAATTATGGAGTCACTTTTGCTTCCACTTCTGTGAAAATTCTCTACAGGATGGTAGTGATAACCCAACTGCAGAACTGAAAAGTCAATGCATCCCAGGAAAGCCTCCCTCCTGGAGAAGCAGGGCTGTCTTCAGGGATGAGGAGAAACACAGCTGGCCTGGAGTGAAGGGCGAGCTTTCGGCACCAGAGCGGCTGATCTCACAAGTGGAGGCCGGGGACCCTGACCTTGCCAAGTCTAATGACTAGAGTCACTCTCCTGGAACTCTGGAGGATGAAGTGTGGCTGTGGGCCTCCTCCGAGCCCAGTGGAACATCAAGAAAGAATGAGGTCCCAGACCTGGGAGCCTCTCTGGGCATTCCAGCAGAGTGGGTAAGCTCTGTGCTGTAGGAGAGGGTGTAAGAATCTTGGTCCAGGAGGAGCTCACTGAGGCGACTAGATGCAGAGGAAGTTGGGAAAGTATTGATAAAGAGGGTTGTAGCTCCTCATGTTTCTTTTCAGGCAGTAGACGAAATGCCAGTCACAGGCGCAGAGCTGCATCTGGCAGAGGGACCCACGTCCTGCAAACAGGACACCAAATGCAGGATGAGGAAGAAGAGATGCTCTGTGACACTGACTCTGGACTTGCTTCAGTCAGGACTTGCTGCTAGCCTGAGCAGACTCCCCAGTCTCCTTCCTGCCCTCAGTCTGATGTGGGAGGCACAGCATCTATACTGGGGGTGCATAACCTGATGGAAGAGGCACAGCTGCTGCCCAGGGTGAGGTTTCAGCTCCTGCCCTCAGGGAGTCCCCAGTCTGATGGAGGACACGCATTCCCTCCCCATCAGACTGGGAGCTCTCAGTCTGGTGATGGAGACAGCCCTGTCTCTGGAGGAACTTCAGTTCTCAGAGAGGAGACACCATCCCCAGATTCAGCTTTGAACTCAGAAGGACCTGAGCTTGAATCCCAACTCTAGCTGTGTGCACTGGCAAGCCTTTGACTCTGTTTCCTCATCTGTAAAGTGGGGACACTAAAGCCACCCCACAGCAAGCAAAAGGACATATGGAAAGCACTTGACCCCTAATACATGCTGAGTCTAAGATGTTTCCGCCCGCCCCCTAGAGGTCAGATACAGCTGCAATAATCCTGCCCCTGTTGCCCCCATCTCTGCCCCCCCAAGATATAGACTGGCTGACCTCTTGGGGCACCTGACCTCAGAGGCAGCAGGGACCCAGGCTCTTCCAGTGGCCTGAATGGAAGCCCCAGCCTTACCACAGGTGACCAGGCCGCATGCAATTCTGTATCTGTACACCTGTGTCAAGGCATTGCAGCCTTTTTTCTCCAGCCGCGCGTAGCAGTGGTCATGCATCCAACAGCACCTGTCAATGCAAGAGATTTAGATCCTGAGCAGAATGGGCCTGTCCCTTGAGCAGAGGCCATCATGGTTGGTGAGATCTGACCAAGAAAAAATCTCATGATATGGCTGAGTCCTTCCTGCTCTTCCATTAAGTCTGTCCCACACATGTACCAGTTCACGGACCAGCTCTTTCCTCCTGGGCCCACGGTGAGACTACATTTCCCAGCCCCCCTTGCAGGTATGTGTGGTCACATGACGAGGCTGGCACCCTGGAAAATGTACAGCACTTCTAGACCTACCCATAAAAATCTCCCACTCTAGGAGACCTTCAAGATGGCGGAGGAGTAAGACATGGAGATCACCTTCCTCCCCACAGATACATCAGAAATACATCTACATGTGGAACAACTCCTACAGAACACCTACTGAATGCTGACAGAAGACCTCACACTTCTCAAAAGGGAAAAGACACCCTCAGGAGACCTACACACAGAGGTGGGGCCAAATCCAAAGCTGAACCCCAGGATCTGTGCAAACAAAGAAGAGAAAGGGAAATCTCTCCCAGCAGCCTCAGGAGCAGTGATTAAATCTCCACAATCAACCTGATGTACCCTGCATCTGGAATACCTGAAGAGACAACGAATCATCCCAAAATGGAGGCGGTGGACTTTGGGAGCAACTGTAGACTTGGGGTTTGCTTCCTGCATCTAATTTGTTTCTGGTTTTATGTTTATCTTAGTTTAGCATTTAGAGTTTATTACCATTGGTAGATTTCTTTATTGATTTGGTTGCTCTCTTCCTTTTTTATATATATATATATTTATATATATATATATATATCTTTTTTTCCTTCTTCTCTTTTTGTGAGTGTGTATGTATATGCTTCTTTGTGTGATTTTGTCTGTATAGCTTTGTTTTGACCATTTGTCCTATGGTTCTCTCTGTCTGTTTTTGTTTTTTGGGTTTTTTTTAGTATAGTTTTTAGCGCTTGTTATATTTGTGGATTTCCTTTTTGGTTTCGTTGCTCTCTTCTTTCTTTCTTTTTTTAATTATTTTTTTATTTTTAATAATTTTTTTTATTTTAATAACTTTTTAATTTTATTTTTTTTTCTCCCTTTTCTTCTGAGTTGTGTGGCTGACAGGGTCTTGGTGCTCTGGCTGGGTGTCAGGCCTGTGCCTCTGAGGTGGGAGAGCCAAGTTCAGGACATTGGTCCACCAGAGACCTTCCAGCTCCACATAATATCAAACAGCGAGAGCTCTCCCAGAGATCTCCATCTCAAAGCTAAGACCCAGCTCCAGTCAATGACCAGCAAACTACAGTACTGGACATCTTATGCCAAACACCTAGCAAGACAGGAACACAACCCCATACATTAGCAGAGAGGCCACCTAAAATCATAATAAGGTCACAGACACCCCAAAACACACCACCAGACGTGGTCCTGCCCACCAGAAAGACAAGATCCAGCCTCATCCACCAGAACACAGGCACTAGTCTCCTCCACCAGGAAGCCTGCACAACCCACTGAACCAACCTTAGCCACTGGAGACAGACACCAAAAACAATGGGAACTACGAACCTGCAGCCTGCGAAAAGGAGACCCCAAACCAGTAAGTTAAGCAAAATGAGAAGACAGACAAACACACAGCAGATGAAGGAGCAAGGTAAAAACGTACCAGACCAAACAAATGAAGAGGAAACAGGCAGTCTACCTGAAAAGGAATTCAGAGTAATGATAGTAAAGATAACAGAAATTTTGGAAATAGAATAGAGAAAATACAAGAAACGTTTAACAAGGACCTAGAAGAACTAAAGAGCAAACACACAATGATGAACAGCACAATAAATGAAATTAAAAATTCTCTGGAAGGAATCAATAGCAGAATAACTGAGGCAGAAGAACAGATAAGTGACCTGGAAGATAAAATAGTGGAAATAACTACCACAGAGCAGAATAAAGAAAAAAGAATGAAAAGAATTGAGGGCAGTCTCAGAGACCTCTGGGACAACATTAAATTCACCAACATTTGAAGTATAGGGGTCCCAGAAGAAGAAGAGAAAAAGAAAGGGACTGGGAAAATATTTGAACAGATTATAGTCGAAAACTTCCCTAATATGGGAAAGGAAATAGTCAATCGAGTCCAGGAAGTGCAGAGAGTCTCATATAGGATAAATCCAAGGAGAAACATGCCAAGACACATATTAATCAAACTATCAAAAACTAAATACAAAGAAAAAATATTAAAAGCAGCAAGGGAAAAACAACAAATAACATACAAGGGAATCCCCATAAGGTTAACAGCTGATCTTTCAGCAGAAACTCTGCAAGCCAGAAGGGAGTGGCAGGATATTTAAAGTGATGAAAGGGAAAAACCTACAACCAAGATTACTCTACCCAGCAAGGGTCTCATTCAGATTCGATGGAGAAATCAAAAGCTTTACAAAGCTACGAGAATTCAGCACCACCAAACCAGCTTTACAACAAATGCTAAAGGAACTTCTCTAAGTGGGAAACACAAGAGAAGGGAAAGACCTACAATAACAAACACAAAACAATTAAGAAAATGGTAATAAGAACATACATATTGATAACTACCTTAAATGTAAATCAATTAAATGCTCCAACCAAAAGACATAGACTGGCTGAATGAATACAAAAACAAGACCCAAATATATGCTGTCTACAAGAGACCTGGGAACACATACAGACTGAAAGTGAGGGGATGGAAAAAGATTTCATGCAAATAGAAATCAAAAGAAAGCTGGAAGGCTTCCCTGGTGGCGCAGCGGTTGAGAGTCTGCCTGCCAATGCAGGGGACGTGGGTTTGTATCCCGGTCCGGGAAGATCCCGCATGCTGAGGAGCGGCTGGGCCCGTGAGCCATGGCCGCTGAGCCTGCGCGTCTGGAGCCTGTGCTCTGCAACTGGAGAGGCCACGACAGTGAGAGGCCCGTGTATCGCCAAAAAAAAAAAAGAAAGCTGGAGTAGCAATTTCTCATATCAGACAAAATAGATTTTAAAATGAAGACTATTACAAGAGACAAAGAATGACACTACATAATGATCAAGGGATCAATCCAAGAAGAAGATATAACAATTGTAAATATTTATGCACCCAACATAGGAACACATCAATACATAAAGCAAACGCTAACAGCCATAAAAGGGGGAATCGACAGTAACACAATCATAGTAGGGGACTTTAACACCCCACTTTCACCAATGGACAGATCATCCAAAATGAAAATAAATAAGGAAACACAAGCTTTAAATGTACATTAAACAAGATGGACTTAATTGATATTTATAGGACATTCCATCCAAAACCAACAGAATACACTTTCATCTCAAGTGCTCATGGAACATTCTCCAGGATAGATCATATCTTGGGTCACGAATCAAGCCTTGGTAGATTTAAGAAAATTGAAATCGTATCAAGTACCTTTTCTGACCATAATGCTATGAGACTAGATATCAGTTAGAGGAAAAAAATCTGTAAAAAATACAAACACGTGGAGGCTAAACAATACACTACTAAATAACCAAGAGATCACTGAAGAAATCAAAGAGAAAATTTAAAAAACCTGGAAACACATGACAATGAAAACACGATGACCCAAAACTTATGGGATGCAGCAAAAGCAGTTCTAAGTGGGAAGTTTATAGCAATACAAGCCTACTTCAAGAAACAAGAAACATCTCAAATAAACAACTTAACCCTACACCTAAAGCAATTAGAGAAAGAAGAACAAAAACCCCCCTAAGTTAGCAGAAGGAAAGAAATCATAAAGATCAGATCAGAAATAAATGAAAAAGAAATGAAGGAAACAATAGCAAAGATCAATAAAGCTAAAAGCTGGTTCTTTGAGAAGATAAACAAAATAGATAAACCACTAGCCAGACTCATCAAGAAAAAAAGGGAGAAGACTCAAATCAATAGAATTGGAAATGAAAAAGGAGAAGTAACAACCGACTCTGCAGAAATACAAAGGATAATGAGAGATTACTATAAGAAACTCTATGCCAATAAAATGGACAAACTGGAAGAAATGGACAAATTCTTAGAAAAGCACAACCTTCCAAGTCTGAACCAGGCAGAAATAGAAAATATAAACAGACAAATCACAAGCACTGAAATTGAGACTGTGAATAAAAATCTGCCAACAAACAAAAGCCCAGGACCAGATGGCTTCACAGGTGAATTCTGTCAAACATTTAGAGAAGAGCTAACACTTATCCTTCTCAAACTCTTCCAAAAGATAGCAGAGGGAGGAACACTCCCAAACTCATTCTCTGAGGCCACCATCACCCTGGTACCAAAACCAGACAAAGATGTCACAAAGAAAGAAAACTACAGGCAATATCACTGATGAACATAAATGCAACAATCCTCAATACAAGTAAACAGAATCCATTAAAAGGATCATACACCATGATCAAGTGGGGATTATCCCAGGAATGCAAGTATTCTTCAATATACGCAATTCAATCAATGTGGTACACCATATTAACAAAGTGAAGGAGAAAAACCATATGATCATCTCAATAGATGCATAAAAAGCTTTTGACAAATTCAACACCCATTTATGATAAAATCCCTCCAGAAAGTAGGCAGAGAGGGAGCTTACCTCAACATAATAAAGGCCAGATATGACAAACCCACAGCCAACATCATCCTCAATGGTGAAAAACTGAAACCATTTCCTCTAAGATCAGGAAGAAGAGAAGGTTGTCCACTCTCACCACTATTATTCAACATAGTTTTGGAAGCTTTAGCCACGTCAATGAGAGAAGAAAAAGAAATAAAAGGAATCCAAATCAGAAAAGAAGAAGTAAAGCTGTCACTGTTTGCAGATGACATAATACTATACATAGGGAATCCTAAAGATGCTACCAGAAAACTGCTAGAACTAATTAATGAATCTGGTAAAGTAGCAAGATACAAAATTAATGCACAGAAATCTCTGGCATTCCTATACACTAATGATGAAAAATCTGAAAGAGAAATTAAGGAAACACTCCCATTTACCATCACAACAAAAAGAATAAAATACCTAGGAATAAACCTACCTAAGGAGACAAAAGACCTGTATACAGAAAACTATAAGACACTGATGAAAGAAATTAAAGATGATACAAACCAATGGAGAGATACACCATGTTCTTGGATTGGAAGAATCAGCATTGTGAAAATGACTATTCTACCCAAAGCAATCTACAGATTCAGTGCAATCCCTATCAAACTACCAATGGCATTTTTCACAGAACTAGAACAAAAAATTTCACAATTGGTATGGAAACACAAAATACCCCGAATAGCCAAAGCAATCTTGAGAAAGAAAAACGGGCTGGAGGAATCAGGCTCCCAGACTTTAATCTATACTACAAAGCTACAGTGATCAAGACAGTATGGTACTGGCACAAAAACAGAAATATAGATCAATGGAACAGGATAGAAAGCCCAGAGATAAACCCACGCACATATGGTCACCTTATTTTTGGTAAAGGAGGCAAGAATATACAATGGAGAAAAGACAGCCTCTTCAATAACTGGTGCTGGGAAAACTGGACAGCTACATGTAAAACAGTGAAATTAGAACACTACCTAACACCATACACAAAAATAAACTCAAAATGGATTAAAGACCTAAATGCAAGGCCAGACACTATAAAACTCTTTGAGGAAAACCTAAGCAGAACACTCTATTACATAAACCACAGCAAGATCCTTCTTGACCCACCTCCTAGAGAAATGGAAATAAAAACAAAAATAAACAAATGGGACCTAATGAAACAAAAGCTTTTGTATAGCAAAGGAAGGCATAAACAAGACGAAAAGACAACCCTCAGAATGGGAGAAAATATTTGCAAATGAAGCAATTGACAAAGGATTGATCTCTAAAATTTACAAGCAGCTCATGCAGCTCAATATCAAAAAAACAAACAACCCAATCCAAAAACGGGCAGAAGACCTAAAAAGACATTTCTCCAAAGAAGGTATACAGATTGCCAACAAACACATGAAAGAATGCTCAACATCATTAATCATTAGAGAAATGCAAATCAAAACTACAATGAGGTATCACCTCACACCAGTCAGAATGGCCATCATCAAAAAATCTACAAACAATAAATGCTGGAGAGGGTGTGGTGAAAAGGGAACCCTCTTGCTCTGTTGGTGGGAATGTAAATTGATACAGCCACTATGGAGAACAGTATGGAGGTTCCTTAAAAAACTAAAAATAGAACTACCATATGACCCAGCAATCCCACTGCTGGGCATATACCCCGAGAAAACCATAATTCAAAAAGAGTCATGTACCACAATGTTCATTGCAGCTCTATTTACAATAGCCAGGACATGGAAGCAACCTAAGTGTCCATCAACAGGTGAATGGCTAAAGAAGATGTGGCACATATATACAATGGAATATTACTCAGCCATAAAAAGAAACGAAACTGAGTTGTTTGTGGTGAGGTGGATGGACCTAGAGTCTGTCATACAGAGTGAAGTAAGTCAGAAAGAGAAAAACAAATACCATATGCTAACACATATATATGGAATCTAAAAAAATAAAAATATAAAAAATGGTTCTGAAGAATCTAGGGGTAGGACAGAAATAAAGACGCAGACGTAGAGAATGGACTTGAGGACACAGGGAGGGGGAAGGTTAAGCTGGGATAAAGTGAGAGAGTGGCATGGACTTATATATACTATCAAATGTAAAATAGATAGCTAGTGGGAAGTAGCCACGTAGCACAGGGAGATCAGCTCAGGGCTCTGTGACCACGTAGAGGCGTGGGATGGGGAGGGTGGGAGGGAGACGCAAGAGGGAGGAGATATGGGGCTATATGTATAGCTGATTCACTTTGTTACAAAGCAGAAACTAACACACCATTGTAGAGCAATTATGCTCCAATAAAGATGTTAAAAAAAAAATTCCCACTCTGTCCTCCACTCTCTCTTTCTCCATCTCAGCTGGATGGAGATGACCCAGCCAAGGACTCTGAGGCCATGGGGAAAGTCATGAGACAGGAGAAACCTGGGTCCTGGAATTGATATGTGATTCACATGGTCAAATGAGCAAAAACTAAACTTCAATTGTGATAGCTGTGGGCAACTGCATTTTTTTAAAATTTAGATTTACAGAAAAATTGAGAAGATTGTACCAAATGCCCCCTTTTACCCCACACCCAGTTTCCCCTATTATCAACACTTTTTATGAGTATAATATGTTTGTTACGGCTAACAAACCAATACTGATACATTATTAAATAAATGTTAACTAATTAAATAATAATATATCACTATTGATTCATTAATTGTAAAAGTCCATAATTTCTTTAGATTTTCTTAGTTTTTACCTAAATGTTCTTTTCTATTCCAAGATCCAGTGATGGACACCATGTTACATGTACTTGTCCCGTCTCTTTAGGCTCCTCTTGCCTGTGGCAGTCTGTCACACTTTCCTTGCTTTTGATGACCTTGACAATTCTGAGGAATGGTGGTCAAGTCTTTTGTAGGATGCTCTCCTACTGGGATTTCTTTGATGTTTTTGTCACGATGAGATGGGTTATGGGTTTATTTTGGTGCCATGTTGTTCCAGTTTTGGCCATTAGGGGGCTCTCCCAGTTGGCGCCTGTGCTCTTTGACATATTCCTATCAATGAGGGATTTGGTTTGGGTTTGTTTTGTTCGAGCCCTTCCTTAATTTGGGGCACTACAAAAAGCTCCAGGTTCCTCTTGTATATTTCCTGCCCTCGTCCTAGGATCAGCCATCTCTCCAAGGAGCCTTGGTTCCTCTTATTGGAGAATGGTGTCAGAAACCAGGTCTGGGCACTAGGTGCTGCTTCTTGCTTCTGGGGTATTGTTTCTTTTAGGGTCTCTCAGACGACAGAGCAAAAAAAATATGTGTCTATATTAACCCACGTAATTACACATATCTCTACATATTTTTATATGTAACCATCTGCATCTATATACAGCTAACTAGGAGTTTATACTGAAGTCTCCAACTCTAATCCATTATCACATAGATCATTCTAGCTTCCTGTCCCTGCTTGTCTGGTCTGTAAACTCCCACTCCAGCAGCGACAAGCTTGGCTCCAACCATCTGCCCTCCATTTGTTTAAGCCCCTCATCCCCTTATACGTGTCTAGCTGTATAAGAATTGTTAACCCAGCAGATTGTATTTTTCAAAGAGCAATCTCTCCCATCTCACATGTTCTTCTAGAACATTGCCACTTCCCAATCAAGAGGTGGAAACTAGGCCCCCTCTCTCTTAGAGCCTTTGTGACTGCCTTGATGAAGAGAACAGTGGAAGTGACACAGTAGAATTTCTGATGCTGGATCACAAAAACACCATGCTCTTTTGTCATGCCGTTCTGGAACACTCACGCTTGAAACCCAAGAGGCACCGTGCTGTGAGGAAGTCCAGACAACCTTAGAGAGGCTTAAGTGAGAGGAACTGAGGCCCCTGGCCCACAGCCTCAGCTGAGCTCCCAGCCAGCAAACAGCAACAACTTGCCAGCCATAGGAGTAATCATTCTAGAAAGCAGATCGCCCAGCCTCAGCGGAGCGGCCCAAGCCGAAGCCAGGTGGAGAAGAGACAAGCCATCCCGCCAGGCCCTGCCCAAGTGGCAGAATCTTAGCAAAATAAGGGGTTGTCATCGCTTTAGGCTACTACATTTTGGGGTGGTTTGTTACGTAGTGATAGATCAACTGATATATTAGGCACTGAGATTCAGGGAGTTACTAGATGTATCTTGGGCAAGTCAGTTAACCTCTCTAAGACTCAGTTTTCTTATCTATAAAATGGTGCTTTAATACTCATCTTTCAGAATTGATATCGAATTAGATGAGATAATGTGGATACAGAGCCTGGGGCGTAAAGGGCAGTTATGACAATTAACTCACCAATCAGTACAATCCTTGGGGGTTCCTTGACCCCCCCAGCCGCAGTAACAGCCGTAGAAGCCATAGCTCATCAGGGCGGGCTTCCTAGTCACCTTCTCAATCATCACCTTCAGCTGCAGCAAGCTCCCTGGGACAGCAGGCACACCTGAAAGACAGCCCAGGCAGACCCGCTCCAGGCCCACTTTCCCACGTGCTCCCTCCCTTTCTTTCACCTTGAGGCTTGGAGGGACCAATGTGTCCCTTTTTTATCCTCCCCATTCATGGGAGAGGAATGAGAAACGTGAGGGCAAACAGATAGAGAAGGGATTAGAAGTTTGGATGTGGACGATCCCAGCTCTGCCACTAATTCACAGTATGATGTTGAATAGGTCACTTCATCTCTCAGAGCCTCAGTTTCCTCATCTGCAAAATGCGGGGGCGGGGGAGGGCCTAAAATGAACGCCTACCTTTTGGAGATGTCATGAGGGTTGAAAAAAGATAAAGTATGTAAATTTCTAGCACAGTGACAGACACATAGTAAGTGACCAAGAAATGTTCAGGATAATGAATATCGTATCAGTATGAAGCAGGCAGACAGGCACTTCCTGTCTCTCCTGATGATACACCCGTCCCTTCCCGCGGTTGACACCATCTGGAACGGGAGGCACAGAATCTTAGAGCAGTGTGGGACCCGTAGAGATCACTGGAGGCAGCTCCCTCATCTTACAGTTGGGAAACTGTAGCTCAGAGGGGAAGGTGACTTGCCCAGGGTTTTGCAGTGAGCCAGAGGCAGTCTCGCACTCTCCCTGCAGTCTCCAGGGATCTGGCGAGGCATCAGTAGGACAGCCTGTCAGAGGTTGTGTACATGGTGACGGGGCTGCAGGGGAGGCCTAAAGCCAGGCTCCCCCCACGCTGGGCAGTTCCCTCCAGCTGGGAGGTGGCAGCAGGTGGGACATGTAGAAAACCTGGACAGGCTTGAGCAGAGAATGCCCAGGAATTGTGGAATGGAATATTTATATAAGGATCTTGTGTTGTGATAGTTTTATCGTATTTTATTTGGCATCAAAGTAAAAAATCTGCCTCCCATGTCTACAAGCACCATGTCTTCCACATGGCACAATCTTTCCATATCCCCTCCTAGAATCCTGCAGCAGCCCAACCTGTCGACTATTATTCTGTGTCACAGATAAGGAGACAGAGGCTCGGAGAGCCCAAGGCTCTTGCTGAAATCGACATGGTCAGGGTAGGGCCAGGATTCAAAATCAGGTCGCCAGGACTTCCAAGACTGGTCTCCTTTCCACTACCCTATTGTTCCTGTGGGGTGAAAGGTCAAAAGTTCAGAGGTCTCGGGGCAAGCACTTACTACAAGCCAGGAACCAAGCCAGTGTGAGGAGGCCCTTCATCTCCAGGGTTCTGGAAAAGAAAACACAGCCCATGACATGTCGATCGGGAGAGGCCCTCATGGCCCATTCAGACCCACTCCTGGCTGGGGAGGGCCACTCCATGGCCCACCAGGCCCCACCCTCTCAAGTTGGGCAGTAAACAGGCAACAGCAGCTGGAAAAATGAGGCAAAAACCTCAAGGAGTTGACCCAAGGGGTCCCTGGGAGGAGAGGGGCACCCTGGGTCGTTGTCCCCATTAGAGATGGGAGAGAATTTTACCATGGCAAATACCCCCAACACAATCGCTCCTTCCTGAAAATTCTTTTTCAATTATATTTTACAGCTGTGTTGGTATAAATACAATCCAGGCTGGATTCATTCTTATACGTTCATTATATTATATTATTTTTTCTCCTGATTTTAAAAGAATTTAAAATTAAAACATTTTCATGGGCCCCAGGCACCATGTCTACCTACAAAAATAAGTCAACCCTGGGTACTCACAACAGCTCTGAAGGGTAGGTATCATTGTTCTGTAGGGGAGCAAAATTTGAACCCCAAAGTGTGTCTCTTTGGCATAAGGATTAATTTAGGCTGATTAATTTTAAGAAACAGAAGATTAGGGGAGCCTTTCTTTTTACCTCTCCCTTAGCTGCCTTAAGAATTTAGATAAAGGTTCTGTTCCCGGCACAGAACTATTATAGAGGTATCTGTAAGGAATACGGGAATAGCTGTGGCTGGAGAAATTTGACAGGGCCTAGAAACCAGAGTCGACCCTGTGTTCCATAGTCTCTGCAGACCCAGCAAACATTTGCATAGCAAACATCTGCTTTTCCAACTCTATGTGAATTGCCTTCCTCCCCTTTGAAGTCCCAAACCCCTACCCCCAACATCCTCTCTGGTCTTTAGCAGAAGATCGTATTTAAGATAAGGGCTTGGGCCATTTTGGTGAGTTCCTTAGTTTTCCTGGGTCTCTCCCATGTGTCCGTGTTACTAAACTTTGGTTTGATTTTCTCCTGTTAGTGTATCCCATGTCAATTTAATTCTTAGACCAGCCAAGAGAACTTAGAAGGGTAGAAAATGTCTTCCTCCCCAACAGTTCTCATTTTGCCAGTGCAGAAATGGAGGCTCAGAGAGCTCAAACAACCTGCCAGAAGTTACACAGCTGATAAAAAGTGGAGGTGACGTTCCAACCCAAGCCTGGCGCGTCGCTCACTGCCCCATACATCCTCCCTCCCTAGAGGGATGTGTTCCCCTCTGAGCGGAGCGGGCTAGGGTCCTTCACATGCTCTATCCCATGGGCCTGGAGGCCCCAGCTTCCCTCCCCAGCATCTACCTTTGACAAACGCATGAATCACTAGCCGCAAGTCCAAAACAATCACACCCAGAAGGCAAGGGAAATTCCTTATGTCTCGGGCCAGTGATGGATTCTAACTTGGCCTCTTAGGAGTTCCTTACCAGTGGCTGCCTGCTTCCCTTTCCTCTCTGGATCCCAAAGTCCTTGTTCACCCAGAGCTGCTCAGCTGACCTATAGTCTGCCAGGATTCCACTCCGATGCCCTGCTGTCTCTGATCCCTGAGTTCCGTGGTCACTCTGCCAGAGCTCTGCCCCGGGCCCTGGTACCTCCTGTGGCCTGGCTCCAAACACACAACCTCCAGCTCCCCAGGGCTCCCAGCAGCTGGGCTGGCCTCTCCATGCCATCCTTTGTCCAGCAGCTCCTCTGAGTTCCAAGAACATTCCTGAGGGTTCTGTCCGCCCACAGCCTCCGCTCTGAGGGCTCTAAACAGACAAGGAAAATGACCCTAGACCTTACCCTTCCAAGCCAATCTTCCTCACTGCTTCCTGGAGCTGTGACAGGAGGAGGACACCAGCTACCATGTACTGGGCACCTAAGACATGCCAGACACCGTCCACTGTCTCCTTAAACCTGCAAATGACCCTAACACGTGGGTACTGTGAAACCTGCTGGCAGTGTCTGCCCTGTAACAGGCATTTATTGAAAGAGAGAATAGCCGTTGTTGACTTTACCGGCGAAGAAATGGAGCCTCAGGAAGGGAAAGTGAGTTGCCCAAGGATTCAGCCCAGGACCGTGAATCTGCTCCTTTGACTGACCCTACTCCGCTGCTTCTGAACAGCCCCTGTGTACTAATCATCTTGTTCATTTTCTATATTTCATGACACTTTAACATCTTGGGGACCTTGCTGGGCTGGAAAGAGACAGCCCCTCCAAGACTAGCTAATCCCCAGATAAAGCAAAACACTCTCCTGTGAACACGGCTTTCAAGTGCAAACCAACCGATCCTAAACTCCCATGCCCAACCACTTCCTCTATCTCAATTTCACACCCCCAGCCAATATTTCCCCTGGCCTAAATCGCCCCAGGGCCGGGACCAGCCCACCGGGGACCACCCCTACGGCCTGAAGTCCACTGAAATTATTCAAGCTAGCCTGTCCTAAACGGTTTACCCTGGCCTGTCTTGCCTCAGCCACAGAAGACACAATGCAGGCTCTGGGCCATGCTTTCCCTCATTTCTTCTGTCTCCTGATCAACCCTGCTGCTTCTCTGTGTGGCCCTGCTAGGTGTGGTACGTCCCCTTCTCCTGGAAACTGTAACAAACTAGCTTTTAAACGCAATCGTCTCCTGATCTGTTGCCTTCACCATACCTGAAGAAAACCAAAATCCCAGGTGCACATTAGATCATCTTGGGACATGGCTGTTGACGTGAGGGAGCAGTGCCAGGTCCCACACAGAGGAGTCAGGAGGTGCACAAAAGAAGTTTCACAGAGGACGTGGCAGAGGCATTGAAATAGCTGCTCTGGAGGCCGGGAAAGTGGACCATCAATGGATCCCAAAGGAGGCTTCCAGCAGAAGGATGTGGGGTTGGATATTTTTATCAGGCAACCACGGAGGAGAATGAGCGAGGCCAAGAGATAATTGTGGAGTGGAGCTCTGGCTGCGGTAATGTGAGGTGGGGAGAGTGGAGACAGACAGCCTGACAGAAGCATGGAGACATGGGGGCCGGGGAGTGGCCGGGTCACTGGAGAGACAGGTCCTCCAAGTCTACATACAGCAGCCCGCCTGCTCCCAGGACCACCCCCTGCATCCCAGTTCATGTCTCCTGGGTGGAGATGATCAACAGCACCAAACCCCCACTATACAGAAGGTGCTACTGAGACCTCCCCGAAATCTAGGGGAGGCCATGAGGGGCCAGAGGTCTCCTCTCACAGCCCCGTCCCTCTATACGCCCTGACCCCACCCCCTCGGGCAAGGCAGCCCCCAGAATGAGATTCCTCACCAGTGACACCTTCTCTCTGTCCTCTGTCTGGAGTAGAGGCAGGAGCTGGGCCCAGCTGGTTTTAAGGGCCTCCCTGCCCACCTCTTACACCCCACCTGGGCCAGCTCCAGGATGCATGGTAACTCCCACAGAAAGCCTTACTTCACCCCTCAAGACCCCTGGGGATATCTTTCCTGTCTGCACTCAGAAGTAGCTATTTCCTGAAGCACACCAGGCGCCTGGGAGGCTTCCGGGAGAGACACAGAGGAGGGAATAACCACAGTCAGGGTTATTCTCCATCCATGGCCCATTTTCCCTGACACACCCCCCCCTCCACACACAATTTTCTGAGAAGATGTGGGTGTGAGCTCCTTCCTCTCCTTGCTCTTGACTCCCTTTTCTCTCCCCCTCCCCTCACGGCAGTATCAGAGAGAAGCCCCTCCTTGGGCTCCGATGAGCCCTTCTCTTCCCAGGACCTACGCACCAGGCACCCGCAGGAACGCTGTGAATTCATTTCAATACGGAAAGTACTTACCGAGTGTCTAACCCCTGCCAGGTTACTGCTGGGGATCCACTGTGAATAGGACAGCTTCTCTTCTGGTTGGGAAAACAGATAGTAAAGGCAGCCAGTAAATATACAGTACGTCCAAGGGCAGTAACTGCTGTGGGGAAAAGTCCTCTCTGTTCTGCATTTTCATTTCCTTTTCTCAACCAATTCCTTCCTCTGCCTATACAAACTTCACCATCCTAAACCAAACAAAAGGAAGCCAAAACAAAAAAAAAGGAAAACATCGCTTGCCTCTGCTGACCTCTCTCCAGCTCTTTTTCCTCTAAAAGCCAAAATTCAAGACAGAGGCACCTCCTCTCGTCCATCACCCACTCTCTTCTGAACCCCTTGCTGCGTACCTTTTGTTGCATCCCTAAGCCGGCCCTCAGGGATCCCCCAAAGCCTGGCATTGCCCAAGCTTGGGCTTCTCTTGAACACTCCATCCCACTGATCACCTCCTCCTTCTTGAAACTCTTTCCCTCTGGCCTTCAAGAGGCCACAGTCTGCCATCTCTCCTCCGGCGGCTCACCCCCCATCTCTGTTGACCCCCAAATGCAGATGTTTTCAAGGGACCTGCTCCTCTCTCTCTACCCCTCTCTCAAGGTGAGTTATCCGTGTACAGGGATTTAGGTCTTATTTCTAGGCAGATGTCCCGAGATATCCCAGGTCAAGCAGTATCTGGCACTAACTCTCACTCAACAATAAACTTTCAGCCCAGGGCAACAATAAACTCCCAGCCCAGACCTTGGAAATGCTTTGCTTGTCCTACCAAGTGACTTTAAAACATGGAATTAGTAGGGCTTCCCTGGTGGCGCAGTGGTTCAGAGTCTGCCTGCTGATGAAGGGGACAGGGGTTCGTGCCCCGGTCCAGGAAGATCCCACGTGTGTTCATCGGTAATGGGACAGGGAGTGCCTTGAGAGTAGAAACCATCTCTTCTGCAAACACGTGTTTGAAGTGCTCAGCTCAGAGCCTAGTCCATAGTAGTTGCTCAGTAAATGTTGTATAAGCACATTAAAGGAACCCATCCCAGGATGAAGAGGTCACTGAGGGCTTTCTAGAAGAGGAGGCACCTGGACTGAATCTCTAAAAGTAGGTTTGAGAAATTGGAACCCTTGTGCACTGTTGGTAGGAATGTAAAACGGTACAGTTGCTGTGGAAAACAGTATATGGCAGTTCCTCAAAAGTTAAAAGTAGAATTACTATACACCCCAGCAATTCCACTTCTGGATGTGTTCCCAAAAGCATTGAAAGCAGAGTCTCAAAGAGATATTTGTACAACCATGATGATAGCAGCATTCTTCACGTAGCTAAAACATGGAAGCAACCCAAGCGTCCACTGACAGGTGAATGCATAGGTAAAATGTGGTGTGTACATACAATGGAATAGTATTCAGCCTTAAACGGGGAGGGAATTCGGAAATAAACCAGTCACAGAAAGACATAGACTGGGCTTCCCTGGTGGCACGGTGGTTAAGAATCCGCCTGCCAATGCAGGGGACACAGGTTCGAGCCCTGGTCCGGGAAGATCCCACATCCCGTGGAGCAACTAAGCCCTTGTACCACAACTACTGAGCCTGCGCTCTAGAGCCCGCAAGCCACAACTACTGAGCCTGCGCGCCGAGAGCCTGCGCACCGCAACGAAGAGTAGCCCCCATTCACTGCAACTAAAGAAAGCCCGTGTGCAGCAACAAAAACCCAATGCAGCCAAAAATAAAATAAATTGATGAAAAAAAGAAAAAGACTGTATGATTCCATTTACATGATATACTTAATCAACATCATAGAAACAGAAAGTAGAATAGTGGTTGCCAGAGGCTGAGGGAGGGAGAATGGGGAGTTAATGTTTAATGGATGCAGAGTTTTAGTTTTATAAGATGAAAAGAGTTATGAAGATGGTTGCTGGTAATGGTTGCACGACACTATAAATGTAGTTAATGCCACTGAACTACATACTTCAAATGGTTAAGATGGTAAATTTTAGGTTATGTGTATATTACCACAATTTTTAAAAATGAAAAAAAAAAGAGAGCGAGAGAAAGTAGATTGGAGTTCACCAGGACAAGAATGTGAGGAAGGGCATTCAGGTAGAAGGAACAGCACATGCAGGACTCATAGGCATAAATTATAAGGGCTCATTCAGGGAACTGCAAACAGATGGGGTAGCTGAGGGTGTTAGGCAGCGATATTCTAGTAAATATTTAATAAATGACCCTCCAGGGGAGTAAAAAGCCCTGATTTTTAACATTTGCCAATTTCTGTCGTGTAAATACTCTCACTCTGAGCAATTTCATGCAACTCACATCATGTCACTGAATGTAGAAATGGGAACACACACTTACCAGGCAAGGATGCTTGGTAGCTAAGAGCCCGCATTCTGGAAGTGCCACTTATTAGCTGTGACCTCGGGCAAGTGCTCTGCTCCTCAGTTTACCCACCTGAATAATGGGGTGAATCATTTTACCTGCCTCATCCCTATGTTCTGAGTTGACACATGGCAGGCGTTTAGAATTGTGCTGGCACAGAGTAAAGGCTCAATTCATGTTTGCTCTTCTTCCTAGGAAAGACGGACATGCGCGCTCTTGACTTCTCAGAAAAGGAAAGTTCCTACGTGTACAGTAGGAATTTAGGAATGGTGGGAAAGGCTAGCTGAAGAGATGCAACTGGGTGTGTCAACAAAGAATCTTGGGTGTCAGGCTAAGGAGTTTTACTCTTCTGCTGAGTGTCCCAGAATGACCTCGATCAATAGCAAGATGATGTGACTTCAGTAAGAAGAGACTGAATAGGTCTTATCCTAAGATCCCCAGAACTGAAGCACACAAGGACAGGGGTGGGTGACACAGCTCAGCAGTCATATGTATGGTCCCCAAGCCTGGTATCAGTCAGATCACAAAAGCAACAGCTGTGTCGGCAGTGACGGCAGGAGTGGGTGCCCAGAATGAGGTCCTAGCTGACCTTACCTGGAGGGGAGTGCCTGTTCCTGAGCCCCATCTCCAGGAGGGCTTCTTGAAACCTGGGGGTGTCTGGGTCACAGGATGCCTGTCAGATAGATGGAATGGGGGCCGACTGGTGTTTGGAAGGGGGTTTGGGGTACCCAGCCTCTGTCTCCAAACTTCTGAAGGATATTCAGGGGTAAAAAGCAGCATCGTTGTCCCACGTGGCTCCACTGCAGAGCTGGCCCCAAGTGTGGGCACCCCAAGGAGTCAGGTTTGAGCTAGAGACAAGAAAGATTTTTCTAGCAACTCCAGTGTCCTGGGGAAATAATGAGCTGTCTTGGGAGTGGTGAGTTTCCTGTGTCCAGGGGCACTTTTTATTTACCACTTTTTAGGAACAGAACTGTAGTAGGGGCAGGGGGGGGGGGGGGGGGGGGGGAGTCACGCCCTCACATGATTTCACAGGAAAAGGAGCTTTCTTTAGGTGTTGGGAACACGAGAGCCTCATCAGAAACACATGAAGTCAGTCATGCCAGTTACGAAGATTAGGTTCATAGGTTTGTAAAAGTGTAGAAAAAATATTACATTTTACCAAGATTGAAAAGAAAAAAAAAAAACCCAGAAAACTCAGGACCCCTTCAGTTGCTCTATGGCATGGAAAAATCTATCAAATATTCTCTGCTCCCCACCTTCTTGGGGGTCCTGCCCCAGCACTGATTCACGCCCAAGTCATGTCCAGGGATGTTGCAAAGAGCAACATTAAGTCGGACACGGGCTGGATGAGCTCCAGGGCCGACCTTCTGTGACAGTGGGTGCTCTCATGTTAACCTGTTCCTGAACATTCCAAGCTTTTCTACTGAGGACTTTGGCACTTGCCGTTCCCCCTGCCTAGAATACTGATACTTAGCAAGACATGGTGCTCTTCATTCCTAATCCTCTAGGTCTCATCTTAAATGACACCTCTTCCAGGAGGCCCTCCCTGACCATCTACCCAAGGTAGCTCCTCCTCCTCCCATTAATCCCATATCACTGTTTTCCCCCTGCACAGCACTTACCACCATCTTTTTTTTTGATGTTGTATGCAATATATTATTCAACAAAAATTTTTTTTCCTTCTGCAAATATACAGATGATTTATCTACTTAGGTACAAATGATGAAAATTCTATATAGTTGAAATGATTTCACATTCAGTGATCATATTCCTCAAGATTAAACCAACAAATCATAGAAATATTCTGACCCAACTCAATAAACTACTAAATTGGATTTTTTTCCCTTTATAAGCTTTTGCCAATTATCAACATTCAGCTAACTTTAACTTCTCCCATTAACCTAGCCAAACCTAAGTAATTTAGCAATTTCTCATGCCCATTTCACCTTTCTACAACTCGACAGCCCTCACAGCACTTTGACATCAACTTTCACTCTCTTTGATGTATTTCTTTACTTGTTTATGACGTCCGTCTCCTACCCCTTCCCCTAGAGAGCAGGAAACTTGTCAGTCTTGCTTTTCATCACATTATCAGCCACTAGCCCAAAGCCTAATACATATTCGCTGGTTGATACTTATTTGTGGAGTAACAGCAATTGGATTGGTAAACCAATTAACTCCGGAGGGAGTAGCAGCCTCACTGGATTTCAGCCATTCTGTAGGTTGGCAGTTTGCTCTAAGGACGCACACAGCCAGCCCAGTCTTTGTCTCAGTCTATTGGTACATATGTAACAGGCTCAAGTTCAACTTTCACCAAAACTTTTGCTAAAAATGCAATCCAAACACCTACTTGGTAGCAAGGACATGTTTTGCTTTGTCTTTGAAAAATCAATTCAGCTGTTCGTTCTCGGGAAACATTCCCTGAACGAGTCTTCCGTTCTGACTCTGTTTCTGTTGGTCCCTCCATCTGGAATGGAGGGACCAACATCACTCTCTTTTTCACCTGGTAAAAGCCTACTGTTCTTCCATGCAGTAATGCCACCTCTTTTTTGGAGGCAGGAGAAACCCTAGAACAACCTATGGCTCTGACTGGCAAGATCCGAGACCTAAGAGCAAAGCTTCTAGGCTCCTGATCCTGAGATACTCACGATTCCAGGCCAATCCGCTTGTCTTCAACCCCAATCCAACCCAGCAACCATTTCCTGAGCAAGTCCTGCGGACAGAGCTGCAGTGAGGCACTAAGGAAACAGACGCAAAGCGAAATCAAGAGATGGTGATCCGGCGCCTGTTAGCATGGGGGAGATGAGAACAGGGCTTTAGAATGCCCACGGCACCTAGAAGGACGTTTGAACTCCTTCCCAGAGCTTAAGGGGAGGAGCCACCTCTTCCAGACGCCTCCCTGATATCTGCCTGGCAGAGTTCACGGCCTCCCCTTCTGCTCCTGGGTCGATCGGTCTCACCTCTATGACAGCACGGGCCACAAGCTGCCAAAGTACCCCGGCAGGTCCGTGGCCGATCAGGACCTGCTGCCACGCCTCTCCAGGCTTGCCTTGGATCCGCACACAACCCAGCGCTTTGCTGGGAAGGAGACTGATGCCAACCCCTTCCAGTTCTCAGACACACCGTCTTGTGCTCTCTCTCTCTCTCTCTCTCCACCCCCTACTCGCCTCCCTCCCTCTCTCTTTTTTCCTCCTTCTCTTTCTTCTTTTACTCCCCCCCACTTTCTTCTCTTCCTCTATTCCTTCTCCTCTTTCTAGATTTAACATGCTTAGCATTCAGTAACTCTTTTGTGAGCACCTACTATGTGCCAAACTCTGTTCTGGGGAAAAGCAATGAACAAAACAGATGAGAACTCCACGCTCATGGCCCCCAGAGACCTTGCATTCTGGTGGGAGCAGACAGAAATAGACAAGTCAATAAATAAAATATATAGAGTTTGGCAGGTGTTGATAAACACTGTGGAGAAAAATCAGGAAAGGAGGAGAGTGGTGTGTGTGTGTGTGTCTGTGTGTTGTGGGGAAGAGGGCTGATGGTGGGAGCAGACAGTTTGAATAGGGTGGCCAGGAAACATCTCAGGGCAGAGGGAACATGAAGGAGGGGAGGGAGCAGGCTGGGGGGACACCCTGGAGAAGAAGGCTCCAGGCAAAGGAAGTACAAAGGTCCTGGAACAGAAGCATGCTTATGAGTTGGAGAAATAATAAGGAAATTAGGTCTACCTTTGCCAAAAAGCCTTCTTCTGGACCCATCGTCCTGCCCCAAACTGGAAAAGTTCTGCTTCTCTGTGTTCTCCCAGCAGCCTGTGAGCTCCCACATCATAGCATCAATCACAGTACATTACAACGTCTCCCCACCAGACAGGGAGCAACTTGGGGACTTTTGACTTTCCAGCACCCAGCATAGGGCTTAATACATATTTATTGACTGTCTAACTGAATCAATCAATGAATAAACAAACTAGGCTATGAATCCTGGAGGATGTCTCATTCATCTCTACCCCTGGCAGCATCTAGTACACAGTATGG